GCCAGTATGAAGAATTCAGAACTAGTAAATTTCTTTCTTTTGTTGTGTATATGAATATAGTTCTGATAATAACAAAGACTCCACATGCAAATACCGTTTTGGATCTGAAAGTGACTTGGACATTACAGTGCACCTTCTAATATTGAAAACTTGATGGGAATTTTTGTTATTGGGTCTTAGCCTATTCAGTATGATTTAGTTATATGATTACATGAAAACAGAATTCTGAACAAAAGCACAGTTGGGAATTTTTTTCTTGAATGTGGCATTTTAATGTTCTGATGGCATGATTCCTGAGACTGAATTATTCCTCCTTATTTTGTTAGTTTTACTTTGTTCTTTTGCCCAAGATCTTTTAAAAAAGACTTTTTCCTTAATAGAAAGGTAAATGTGATTATTTAAGCTTTATACCTGGAAAACCTAAAATTGCCCCAAAGAGTACTAGATTAGCAGGACACACTGCCATAAAACTGTGGAAGCCTTTAATATTCTATGGACAGTTGAGATGTTCTCATCAGCAGATGATTGTGGTTAAGTACAGTAGGTAAGAGCTTCCAGGGCTCTGGAATTAGGTGCCCTAATTCAAATCTTCACCCTACCACTTTAGATGTCACTTAACAGCTAAAAAACTCACTTTCTTCATCTCTAAAATGGAGATAATGGCAGTACCTGTGTTATGGGAGCCTTTTATAAATTTTTTTTAAGTGTTTATTTTTTGAGAGAGAGACACAGAGTGCAAGTGGGGGAGGGGCAGAGAGAGAGAGGGAGACACAAATCCAAAGCAGGCTTCAGGCTCTGAGCTGTCAGCATGGAGCCTGACTTGGGGCTTGAACCCATGAACTGTGAGGTTGTGATCTAAGCTGAAGTTGGAAGTTGGACACTTAACTGACTGAGCCACCCAGGTGCCCCAAGGGAGGCTTTTAAATATTAAATTAGATCTTAATGTTAAATATTAAATTAAGCTAAATATAAGTTTTTAGGATAATGCTTGGCATGCAGTAAATACTAAATGTTAGCTTTTGTTATTATTATTGAAGGGATTGTGGGTAATAAATGTCTCTTATTTTAAGCAATATTCAGATTACTTAAAAAAAGCAAAAGATTTGCATCCCTCTTTGATCTTGAAATAGAATTCATTCAAACAGTAATATATAGGTAATTACTTGTCACCTACCTCACAGTCCAGATAAATTATGAGAAAGGAGGGGTGCCTAGCTGGCTCAGCTGGTAGAGCATGTGACTCTTGATCTTCGGGTTGTGAGTTCCATCCCCATGTTGGGCATAGAGCTTACTTTAAAAAAAAAAAAAATCATGAAAAGAAATTTTTACTTTTTGAGCTAAGGTTAGTCCTGGAGAGAATTTCCTAACATTACTAGTAAAATGTTGCAATTTCTGAACTTGGTGTACTATTGCTATTTCTGAGATGGAACCGTAAAGATTT